TTTTTAATTAAATTTTTCCTAAATATCATCTTTAAAATTTTATGCTAAACGTTGAGAATTATAGCAATACATTTTACTAATGTGTTTATTTTCAGGAGGCTACAATACGTTTTTAATGATACAGAACAGTTTCATTCATATTTGGATGTATTTATATTACTGCTTAGCTGCATTAGGGCCCAAAATTCAGAAATATCTCTGGTGGAAGAAGTATTTGACCGTTATGCAATTGGTACGTCAAAATTAAGTTAAAATGTTTGATTTTTGCACGTATAGATGAATAATTTTGAACTTTTAAAAAAATAAAAAATAAAAAAATTTTAATTTAAAGGTTTGGGACTAATTCAAATATATCTGAGTCAAAACCTAATAATTCAAAAACTAATAATATTCTAAAAACTAATAATATTCTAAAAACTAATAATATTCTAAAAACTAATAATTCAAAAACTAATAATATTCTAAAAACTAATAATATTCTAAAAACTAATAATATTCTAAAAACTAATAATATTCTAAAAACTAATAAAAAAACTAATAATATTCTAAAAACTAATAATTCAAAAACTAATAATATTCTAAAAACTAATAATATTCAAAAACTAATAATTTAAAAACTAATAATATTCTAAAAACTAATAATTCAAAAACTAATAATATTCTAAAAACTAATAATATTCTAAAAACTAATAATATTCTAAAAACTAATAATTCAAAAACTAATAATATTCTAAAAACTAATAATATTCTAAAAACTAATAATATTCTAAAAACTAATAATTCAAAAACTAATAATATTCTAAAAAACTAATAATATTCTAAAAACTAATAATTCAAAAACTAATAATATTCTAAAAACTAATAATTCAAAAACTAATAATATTCTAAAAACTAATAATATTCTAAAAACTAATAATTCAAAAACTAATAATATTCTAAAAACTAATAATTCAAAAACTAATAATTAAAAACAAAAACTAATAATATTCTAAAAACTAATAAAAACTAATAATATTCTAAAAACTAATAATAATATTCTAAAAACTAATAATTCAAAAATAATATTCTAAAAACTAATAATTCAAAAACTAATAATATTCTAAAAACTAATAATATTCTAAAAACTAATAAATTCTAAAAACTAATAAATTCTAAAAACTAATAAATTCAAAAACTAATAATATTCTAAAAACTAATAATATTCTAAAAACTAATAATTCAAAAACTAATAATATTCTAAAAACTAATAATTCAAAAACTAATAATATTCTAAAAACTAATAATATTCTAAAAACTAATAATATTCTAAAAACTAATAATTCAAAAACTAATAATATTCTAAAAACTAATAATATTCTAAAAACTAATAATTCAAAAACTAATAATATTCTAAAAACTAATAATTCAAAAAACTAATAATATTCTAAAAACTAATAATATTCTAAAAACTAATAATATTCTAAAAACTAATAATATTCTAAAAAAAAACTAATAATTCAAAAACTAATAATATTCTAAAAACTAATAATATTCTAAAAACTAATAATTCAAAAACTAATAATATTCTAAAAACTAATAATTCAAAAACTAATAATATTCTAAAAACTAATAATATTCTAAAAAAAAACTAATAATATTCTAAAAACTAATAATATTCTAAAAACTAATAATATTCTAAAAACTAATAATTAATTCAAAAACTAATAATATTCTAATAAAAAAACTAATAATATTCTAAAACTAATAATTCAAAAACTAATAATATTCTAAAAACTAATAATTCAAAAACTAATAATATTCTAAAAACTAATAATTCAAAAACTAATAATATTCTAAAAACTAATAATTCAAAAACTAATAATATTCTAAAAACTAATAATATTCTAAAAACTAATAATTCAAAAACTAATAATATTCTAAAAACTAATAATTCAAAAAACTAATAATATTCTAAAAACTAATAATATTCTAAAAACTAATAATTCAAAAACTAATAATATTCTAAAAACTAATAATTCAAAAACTAATAATATTCTAAAAACTAATAATATTCTAAAAACTAATAATATTCTAAAAACTAATAATTCAAAAACTAATAATATTCTAAAAACTAATAATATTCTAAAAACTAATAATTCAAAAACTAATAATATTCTAAAAACTAATAATATTCTAAAAACTAATAATATTCTAAAAACTAATAATATTCTAAAAACTAATAATTCAAAAAATAATAATATTCTAAAAACTAATAATATTCTAAAAACTAATAATTCAAAAAATAATAATATTCTAAAAACTAATAATATTCTAAAAACTAATAATTCAAAAAATAATAATATTCTAAAAACTAATAATATTCTAAAAACTAATAATATTCTAAAAACTAATAATTCAAAAACTAATAATATTCTAAAAACTAATAATTCCTAAACCCAAAAAATATTTTTAAAACCTTGGTACGAATCATTAAAATTTATATTGTATTGAAAAATTATCAAAATATTTTTAAAGAAATCCATATTCTGTGAATAGATTACTGTTTGAAATTTTTTCGTTTAAATTTACGTGTTAATTTCTGTAACCTATATTTTTTTTAAGTTGGTTTCATGTTTACACCTAGTAAATGATAACAAAAAATTATTACTGTTATGTATAATGCAAACACATAAAGAAATAGCAGTTTTTATTAGTTAATCTTGTTTTCGATTGCCAAACTTATTAACTGTGAATTTCAGGAATGTAGAATTCAAGAACCATTGAAATTTCAGTAATGTAACAGATTCAGCTTTATCTAGGCTGCAATGAAGGGTGCCGGCTACACTACAGGCACAATTTTCAGTTAAAAATTTTTTTCTTTCTAATGCAGCTGGCAAACACTTACACAGCTTGGTCTTGGATGCCTTAAGGCAAGCGCTGCAAAGACGTACTCACTTTGCATTACCCAGGGGGCGCGTGTCACTTGAAGATACGGACGCGGAGTAACAATGCCCCCGCAACGCTCTACGATCCTGTTAGGACCGGGACCTGCGGTTTTAAAGTGGATTCCGAACCACAACAAACATCCATGGCACCGCCGGGACTCGAACCCGAAACCTGTGGTACCGAGCGCCAGAGCGCTAGCCACTCGGCCATTCAGGTCCTTTTTTCAGTTAAAATTACTTATATTATTTTATTAGGCTTGAAAATTAATTCATCTGCATAATTTATATGTAGTTTTAATATTTCGAATTATATTTAATACAAAAATTTCAATTTTTTGTTCTCATTAATGAGTTTCTTTGATGATTTTTTTTATTACAGATACAATTCATAACTGGGATGTCTTACATGACTTATTTGACCTTTTCGCACCACGGAGCTGCAAAGTATCTTTATTCTTCATCATGATCAATATGGCCAACTGCATCATCTTCTTCATCCTTTTCGTCAATTTCTACAGGAGTACTTACAAAAAAAAGAAAATTTAATCATCAAAGTCTTCAACAACAACCGCATTTAATCTCCTTAGTGTTCAAGAACATAGTAATAAAAGTGTAAATAATAATAAAAATAATAAAATATTATCATTGGTAATAAAATGTGGACTTTTATACAGACACTACTAAATTTAGATTTCATTGGAGAATAAATCAGATTGGTCACCTCTGTAATAGATTATTAGACAAATGCTGTCTTGTAATCATGATGTAATAAATATTTTTTATGGTATGTTGTGTTTTATGGTAGCATGAGTTTCTTTGAAACGGCAAGTCAGATAAATTCATGACACTTCTTTTTATTCATTGGCGCAACAGTCCCATGATGGACCGAGACCGTCTGCTTATTGGCAGATTTCGAGACAATAACAGGTGGACTGAAAAGTTCATAGGCTGACACATAGATGGCGCTACTAGTATTAAATCCATATGAGTTTTAGTTAGCCCTAACCTTCAAAAGACACGTGTATAAATTTTACAGCTGTTGCACTATTAGTATGTGAGTTATAGAATATTTAGTGTTCTTCACGTGCAATCCACTCGGCTGACTGTCGATTGGACACCGGTGTGAAATGATGGAGCCGTGTTTCATCCATTGTCACATATCGACGCAAAAATTCGGGTTTATTACGATTGAACAGCTCCAAACACTGCTTAGAATCATGAATTCGTTGCTTTTTTGGGTCGATTGTGAACTCGCGCGGCACCCACTTTGAACAGAGCTTTCGCATATCCAAATATTCATTCACGATATGTCCAACACGTTCCTTTGATATCTTTAGATTCTCAGCTAAACAACTTCACTTTCACTTCACTTCAGTCAACTTCACTTTACGGTTATCAGAAATTATTTTGTGGACTTTTTTTATGTTTTCATCGGTAACAGCCTCTTTGGGGCGTCCACTGTGTGCGTCGTCCTCGGTGCTCATTTCGCCTCGTTTAAATTTAGCAAACCACTTCTCTACGGTTGATTTTCCTGATGTAAAGTCCGAATAATTTTTATAAAGCCAAGCCTTTTCTTCAATAGTATTTTTTTCCGCCAAAAAAGCAATGCTTTATTAACACACGAAATTCCTTTTTATCCATTTTTTCAAACTAACAAAAGTTGCTTCACTACAAATGCTATAACTCACATACTAATAGTGCAACAGCTGTCAAATTTATACACGTGTCTTTTGAAGGTTAGCGCTAACAATGAATTATATGGATTTAATGCTAGTAACGCCATCTATGTGTCAGCCTACGAACATGTCAGCCCAACTGTTAGATGTGTTCTTTTTACGGAGTAGGGTTTCAGCCCTACTGCCAACGCTTTACGATCATATGACAGCGGGACATACTGTTTAAAGTGGATTTCGAACCACTACAAATATCTATGGCTCTGCCGCAATTCGAACCATGTGGCACCGAACCCCAAACGCTAGTCACTCGGCCCCTCAGCTCCCTAAGTTCATGGCACGTACTGTTTTTTTTATAGTCTTCACTATAAGAATTTTTTTTTATATAGTCTTCACTAAGCCAACGGCCGTACCATGCTGAATATACCGGTTCTCGTTAGATCACCGAAGTCAAGCATCATTGGGCGCGGTCAGTACTTGGGTGGGTGACCACCTGGGAAAACACCGCGAGCCGTTGGCCTTCACAAATTTGGGACCTGAATGGCCGAGTGTCTAGCGCTCTGACGCTCGGTGCCACAGGTTTCGGGTTCGAATCCCGGCTGTGCCATGGATGTTTCTAGTGGTTCGGAATCCACTTTTAAACAGTAGGTCCCGGTCCTAATAGGATCGTAGAGCGTTGTGGGGGTAGTGCTACTCGCGTCCGTAGCATATCTTCAAGCTACACGTGCCCATTGGGTAGTGCTAAATGAGTAACAGCAGTGCAGTCTTGGTTTATAGCATTAAGATTAACTGTCTATTACCAGCTGCATTAGCACAACAACATTTCGTGCGACTTTCTTGAGTTTTTGGAACATCACTACTGCTACTACTACACCACACCACACCGCACCGCATCACATCATTGTGCATAGAGCCGAGTTGCCCCTTTACAGTTTGGGAATGATGTGGGTGAGAAGAAGTCTATTTGGGCTCAATGACATATGAGTGTAAAAGCATCACGGAGTCAAGTCAGACTTCTATCTACGGGTGCTCCATCACAACAGAAGCTGCCCCCAACCATGTGCAGATCAGGCGTGAAATGATCGTCACGCACTGCAATACACTGAGGATTAGTAAAAACACACAACAGGGAACAATTTAAATTTATGATGCTTTTTCTTTTAAAATTTAATTATAAAGTCAATTTTTTTTCAAAAAATATGTCTTAGACATTTTCAGCTCTTCTCTTGTAATCACATATTATGCGAATAAATATAGCTTTAATCCTTTTAAAACATGGGGCCTGATGGCCGAGTGTCTAGCGCTCTGGCGCTCGGTACCCGGATGTACCATGGGTGTTTGTAGTGGTTCGGAATCCACTTTAAGCCGTAGGTCCCAGTCCTAATAGGATCGTAGAGCGTTGCGGGGGCATTGTTACTCCGCGTCCGTGGCTTATCTTCAAATTACACGATCGCCCCCTGGGTAATGCAAAGTGAGTAACGTCGGTGCAGCCCTTATGGCATAAAAAAGATCACGGTCTACATTGCCATCTGCATTAGAAAAAAAATCCTCTGAAAATCAAACCTAGACCAAAAGCCAAGCTATTGTAAAAAATAACTTAATCATAAAAACAATTAACTAGCATACTCTTTGGCACTGCAGCCCATGGTGGGCCAAAGCCGTCTGTTTACTGGCAGAATTTGAGACATGAGATGGTGTCTTTTTACGTCATAGGGTTGTCAGCCCTACTCTCAAAGCTCTACAGTCATATTAGACGGACCTACGGGTTAAAGTGGATTCCAAACCACTACAAACATTTATGACACTGCCGGCAATATAAAAACAATTAATAACAATAAATAAAATTCAAAAGACATAATATTGAATAACAATTGAGTTGCAAATTCGTCTTATTCACCGTCGGAATCAGAATCGTCATCAAAATCTGAATCTGAATCATTGTCTCTAGACTGAGAAGATAAAAATTATTCTAGATAATCCAGATCAGATATATGAGCTTAAACAGCCAGAAATAGTTTGATACGAAACTGATTTGCAATACTTACAAGTGCATTGCATCTGTAATTAAAATGAAATCGTATAATAACACTGTTTTAGACTTACAATGCAAACTCATGTTTGTGAAAATTGCAACGCCATGAAGGACTTACGCGAGTGAGCTGAAATTTTCAGGAAATGCAAATTAGCGCATGATATGCAAATGATTAGAATTTCAAATCCGTAGCACATGCGTATGCTGAGCAGCGCCCTCTGAACGGCGAATGGATCCGAATAAATAGACGGCTGTAGCGAGGCGTGTATGGTTATCGGTGGTTATCTGCTAGTGGTGAACGTTAGCTCAATCGTTACTTATGCCTCTTCGATGAAAGATAGCGAGATTTGAATAACTTACAGACGGGGGAGAATCATCGGCCTTCGTGAAGCTGGATTGTCTTATCGTGCAGTAGCCGCTCGTGTGCAGCGTAACAGCAGCACAGTGATGCGTCTTTGGAAGCAGTGGACGGACGAGTGTCGGACAACTTGGAAATTCGGGAGTGGACCCCGAAATGTGATGTCAGCTCGCGATGATAGACACCTGGTCCGCATGGCGCTGACGGACCGTACAGCTTCCTCTAGACAATTGGCAGCACAGTGGTCAATAGCTACAGGTGTTTCATTGTGTACTTCATCAATTCGTAGACGTCTGCTGCAGCGTGGACTGCGCGCAAGGACTCCTTTATACAGGATCCCTCTCACGCTAAACCATCGCCGCCTGTGGCTACAATGGGCCGCTCAGCATAGAGACTGGCGTGCTGATTGTCAGCATGTCGTGTTTTCTGACGAATCCCGCTTTAATTTGTGGTACCATGATGGCCGCATTCGTGTCAGACGCTTTGCCGGTGAACGCCACCTTCCGGAGTGCATTATCGAACACCACAGTGGACGAACACCCGGAGTTATGGTCTGGGATGCCATAGCATATCATGGACGATCTCAATTGCTAAGAATTGTAGGCTATCTGAACAGCACCGGTACATCAGTGAAGTTCTACAGCCCCCAAACTGTTCCCTTCCTTCAAAGCTTGCCAGGCACTGTATTTCAACAGGACAATGCCCGCCTTCATATCGCTAGGACTGTTCAATCCTTCTTTGCAACGCGACAGGTGCAGCTTCTTCCTTGACCTGCGTATTCCCCGGATATGTCGCCGATTGAACATGTGTGGGATTTCGTTGGTCGGCGTCTCGCTCGTGGTCCTCGTCCTGTTGCTTCTGCAGACGAACTTTGGGTGCGCATACAAACAACATGGAATGCTCTTCCTCAGGCAGACATCCAAAATTTGTTTGACTCCATGCCACGTCGTGTAGCAGCACTTATTGCGGCGCGTGGTGGCTACACAAAATACTGATTCCGATCTCTTGTTATTGTTTGTTTGCTTTGAACATTTAATCATTTATTTGTACCACTACCACTCAACTGTGTATTAAATTCCATTCAATTATGACGATTCCTTCATGGTGTTGCAATTTTCCCAAACATGAGTTTATTTATTAATAACACTAGTTTTTTATTAAATCTTATTTTTTAAAGATTGTCGGTTTGGAACGAGTTTAGACCAATATATCTTTCTTGGATTGATTTTATACAATCAATTGTTTGGTGTAGCTCGATAAAAATAATTGTGCCCGGCACAATTCCACAAAAACAATTTATTTCCGTTTGTTTTTGCAGCATTGCCAACACTGGCTTATATGCCATAAAACAACCTCAACCAATCAACCATCCTGGACAATTGAGGCACCGAGCACCGGAACGCTTGTCAATCGGCCATCAGGTCCCCAAATTCCTGAAACTTTGTAGTTTTTTTGTATTATAATCTTCACTAAAATCAAATTTGTTACATACATGGAATATTTCAAAATGGTTTGTTTTAGATTCCAACAACTTCCAATTTTATGCAACCATTTAAATTGCAATTCTGCATCAGAAACAATTCAAATTCACGATGCATTTTCTTCTAAAAGTTGGATACGAAGTCATTTTTTTTAAAGAAAATTTGTAAAACTTCTATGTAAATTTTCTACACTTCTTTTGGGATCACATATCATATGAATTATACAGCTTTAATCCTTGAAAAAGGAAACCTAGTTCAAAAACTGAACTAGTGTTAAAAATATATTAACCATAAAACATTAATAACAATAAACATAATTCAAAAGACACATTATTGAATACCAAAAGATTTGTAAATTCGTCTCAAAATATTCCTTCGTTAATTATCTAATTCGTTTTAAAATCTTAACTAATGCCAATGACTTTTCTTTTAATTCTTAACTTTATAATTTTTACAGCATACACAAAGCACATCAATATACACTGAAGTGACAAAAGTCATGGGATACCTCTTAATATCGTGTCGGCTCTCCTTTCGCCCGGCGAAATGCAGCAACTCGACGTGGCATGGACTCAACAAGTCGTTGGAAGTCTTCTGCAGGAATATTGAGCCATGCTGTCTCGATAGACGTCCATAATTGTGAAAGCGTTGATGGTGCAGGATTTTGGGCACGAACAGACCTCTCGATGATGTCCCATAAATGCTCGATGGGATTCATGTCGGGCGATCTAGGTGGCCAGATCATTCGTTGGAATTGTCCAGAATGTTCTTCAAACCAATCGCGAACAGTTGTGGCCCGGTGACATGGCGCATTGTCATCCATAAAAATCCCCTCGTTGTTTGGGTACATGAAGTCCATGAATGGCTGCAAGTGATCTCCAAGTAGCTGAACATAAGCATTTCCAGTCAATGTTCGGTCCAGTCGCACCAGAGGATCAAGTCCATGCCATGAAAAAACAGCCCACACCATTACGGAGCCACCACCAGCTTGAACAGTGCCTTGCTGACAGTTTGGGTCCATGGCTTCGTGGGGTCTGCACCACACTCGAACCCTATCATCAGCTCTTACCAACTGAAATCGTGACTCATCGGACCAAGCTACGGTTTTCCATTCATCTAGGGACCAACCGATATGCTCACGTGCCCAAACTAGAGTCGCTGCAAGCGATGTCGTTCTGTCAGTAAAGGCACTCGAGTCGGTCTTCTGCTGGAATAAGAAAGCCAAATTTCTCCGCACAGTTTTAACAGACAAGTCCCTTGTACGTCCCACATTGATTTCTGCGGTTATTTGACGCAGTGTTGCTTGTCTGTTAGAATTTACGACTCTTTGCAGACGTCGCCAGTCTCGGTCGTTAAGTGCTGGCGGTCGACCACTGCGCTGTCCATGGTGGGATGTTATGCCTGAAATTTCATACTCTAGGCACACTCTTGACACAGTGGATCTGGGAATGTTGAATTCCCTAACGATTTCCGAAATGGCATGACCCATGCGTCTAGCTCCAACTAACATTCCGCGTTCTTTCTGTTAATTCCCGTCGTGCGGTCATCATCACGTCAAAACCTCTTCCCATGAATAACTTGAACAGGAATGAAATTTGCGAAACACTGCGCATTTATACCTGTTCTACGCGA